CTGGGTAGAGTGGAGGGACAGCGCAGGAGGGGAAGACCCTCTATGAGGTGGATTGATTCAGTGACTGGGGTAATCGGGATGGGTGTCAGAGGCAATGCGATTGGCACAGGTAGAGCAGGGTTTAGGGGTGTTGTACATAGGGTCGCTATGAGTCGCAAACGACTCGATGGCACATAATAACAACAACAAGTGAGTTGTAATACTGAAATATATTGAATGTGGATTTAGATATGAAACTGTAGATACAGCATTTTCAATAAAAAGGTTACAGATCTGGGAGGAAAATATCCTGCCACTGTTCTCATAGTGGTTGTTTCCAAAATAATACAGTTATTTTCATAAAATGATATTTATCTTTATGTTCCCATGTTAGGAGTTCACTGTTTCGTTTAAAGTAGTCAATACATTTAAAATTTAAATATGATATCTATTAATAATTATAATATATGTAAACAAAAACTATTTCATATCCTCACATGTTTGAAATGGTGAAAAGTTCATGACTCTTTTTTCAAAAACTCATTTTCAAAATGTTTGAAAATTTCTGCACTATGAGGCAGACTTGATGAGTTTGGGCTGTATGCTCAAAAATCTTTTATGGCTTCCAATGTGTGCCTCCAATTTTTATTAGGAAATAGATAAATGACAGTATTTTATTCTTAAGTAAAACTTTCATTTTAAAAATGTCATTTTTTTAAAAATTGTACAGATCTTGATGCTACATGTCTATTACAATTTCAGTGTCTTGCAATCTGAGATTGCATCTAGTTTGATCAGATTAAAATCAATCTACACAGCCGTAAGGCCCTTACCTATTCCAGAGGGTGGTGTAAAAGAGTGTATCTGATGAACAGTAGTAAAATCCAGAGATTGAAAGTATCTGAAAGAAGATTGTCCAGTTTCCCAGATGAAAATATCAGTTGAATTATGAGCTTCTGCAAGAATGTTATGAAAGTCAAATATGAAGGCAAAAGTTATAGGCAGAGAACGCAAAATTACACAGCAAAACTAGAATACATTTTTTTAGTTTAAGAAATTTATCACAAATGTATTTAAAATATAATTTTTAATATTTAAAAATGCTTTAACATTTAATAATGATGTTACGGCTAATAATCATGTTCTGAAAGAACAGTAATAAACTATGTGATTATTATTTCAGAAATTATTATTTCAGGAATGTTGAAATCCTATCCCTGAAAATTCCATTAAATAGAAATAATCTAAATACTCTTAAGCCATTTTATGAAATATTTTACCTAAATATTTTAAAGAGCTTTATAAAAAACTTCTAAACAGTTTTGATTACCATAATAAATTATCCATGGTACCCCAAGATAAAAAAAATAATTAAAAGTTACCTGTTTGTACCATGGGTATAATATTTTCAAGTACATGTTCACTTTATCTATTCATTCAAAAGACTTATATCTCAAAAATCCCCAAACTGATACTGTCAAGTTGGAACCAACTCATACATGAACCACTGTCAGGTTTCTGAGGTTATAAACCGCATGGGAAGAGATTTCTCTGCCTTCTCCCATGGAGCTGCTGGTGGGTTCAAACCACGAGAGAGGTAGCACCCTTTGGGTAGCAACATAATTCCCTACAGACTATAAAACTATGAAGTAATAGTTAGAAACACTGCACAATTAAAGACATAAATTTGAAATTTCCCCCAAAATCTGTTTCTAAAATATAGTCAATATCCATAGAAATCTATTATACATTAGCTAAAACATTATTACAAACCCATCGTAATATAGAACATAAACTATGAATGCTGGGAAACTTTGATAGAAACTCTATCTTCATTACCAAGACTACATTTTCTCACCTAGGAAGGTATTTTTGGCAAAAATCAAGTAAATGTCATCCCCTGAAGACAAAGCCTCGACTTGCGTTATCCCGCTGATTGGCACTTCAAAATCGTTAATAAATCCACTACCAGACCATCTGAACAAAAGGGCATTTAGCATAGCTTTAGCCTGGGCAACAGCTAAGAATGTATAGCCTCCTCGGCTGAACAAGGCCATGCTCAGCACACCTCGTACAGGGAGTTTATGATGCAACATGAAGCTTCTTCCATTCCATCTGAAGACCTGTAGGAAATGTTCAAACACACAACCCTTTACCATTAGGAATTTAGCTACTGGAGATGTGAGCCAATGTCATATGCTTATCCTCAAGGACATTATTATATCATTTTTGTTTGCCAATGAGTCAGAATGGACCCACAGCTAATCCTACAGATTTTCAGAGACAGCAAATCTCAGAGGACCCGCCCATGCTTTTCCCTGTACAGCAGCTGGTGGATTCAAACCGTGTGCTTTTGGGACTGCAGCACTGCTTCTTACCACTAGGCCACCAGAGCTCTCTATTTTACAATTAGAAAGATAATTTCAAATAAATGAATGGAAGAGAAATGAAAAAATAGCAAAAGTGATAAATGTTCACAGACACAGGGTGGGTAAAATATACATCATTTGAATATAAATCTGTTTGAAATATGCATCTAAACAGGAATGAATAATGGTAAAAGGGAAAAAAGGTTAAAGAAACAACATGATTTTAAATATGAACAATGCAAAATTGAGTAAGAAATGTCTGGTGATGTAACATAATCACCTCTGCTCACACAAAGACAAACATCCAATGTTTTTAGTCTCCATGCTGGTGTTACATTTAAAGTTATGAGAATTTGAGGGGTGATGAAAACATTACAGTGTAAGCAACTGGAATGAAAAGATTTAATTATTAGAAAACTGTGTTATTTTGGACTGATACTGAGGGCCCACTTAGCAATAATTATAGCAATACCATCTGTCCAGCTGAATGATTTCCCTCCATGGTGCTATCTAAAGTAATTAAATTCTAATGAAATATTTGTATTTCTTATTATATTTATATGGTCCTCAAAGACAATAGACTTTTCATTACACTGTTTAAAAATTAACTGTAAAAAATAGCTACATTCCTCTCTGAAATTTTACCACAACTAAGCTGTGATTTTTCTTTATACAGAACCTCAAACCAGTCCAGAACAAAGGCTGCATAATGGAGTGGACTTAGGGAAAGAGATTGTATAACAATGAAAGAATCTTTCATTTACTTTTCAAAGAGAAGAGTGGACTGGGGTGGGGAGAGAAAAGTGCAACAGTGGATGAATGGAAATCCAAAGTCTTTGTAAGCTTTCATTAAAGTTGATTTAAAATTAAAGTCTTTTGCTGCAGGTCTGTGCATAGAACTAACACCCTGTGTTGGGTTTTTTTTTCTCTCTGTTTTATTAATTCATTGTTGCACATTTTCTCCCTCGATTCCCTACCCCTACAGCACACCCCACAATGCACTCCTTGTTCCAGATTGTTCTCATGATTATAGTGAATAATCATGTATTCCTTTTGACGGTTCTTCCCCTCACCTGTTCTAATGCAATGATCATTATCTTTCCCCATCCCCCCAAATGTCTGTCCTATTTTATAACAGCAGTATTTTGCACTATTTATCCTTTTGTGACCCTTTCTTATCCTGACTTCTGCTTCCATGGACCTTGACTGTGGATCCAAGGAAATTAAAATTCTGACAACTAAAAAAAAAAACAAACCCAAAAAACAACCTCAAGCCATATCTATGATGAAATTCAATTACAGTATTATAAGGAAAACAAAATGCTAAAAGATACAAACCTGAGTTAATTCAGAATCATCTTGTTGACTAGCAACAATTAAGTAATGTTGATTATCTGAAGTAAAATACATTACTTGAGAACTCTCTGAAATAATGATTGTTTGCACCTGTAATAAAGAAAGAACGATATTAAAAAATTGAGTTACTTTAACTGAAAATGCACATGATACAATACTAGTATGAATTAATATGTTAATTTTTTAGTTAGAAAAATATCATTGTGGTCACGTATTCATCTGGATGTCACTGCAAGAAAGCCTAAAAAGCTCTCAACTAAGGTATCTTCTTAATAATAATTAGGAACTTACAAAAGATTCTTTCCCACCTGTTTTTATTGAAATATCCAAACTTACTGCCACCAAGGCAGAAATGACCAGAGCTTACCCTCCATTGGCTTCTCAGAGACTATAACTGGTACAGGAAAAGACTGTCTTTCTTCTGCAAAGCAACAGGTGGATTTGAATCACTTGCCTTTTAGTTGACAGGGCAATTTTTTATCCACTTGGTCATCAGATCTCCCTTCCACCTAAGTAAGTCTTTTTAATAATCTCATTATTCTTTTAATAAAGTAATTTACAAGAAGAAATTGTTTTTACCAGTAATAATTTAAATTCCAATGTGAATGTATACACGCTGTTAACAGAAGACTTTTCTTCATTTACATCTTCATGAGTGATCACAAGGTAGGGAGAAGGACCAATATGAAATGTTGTACATGTTTTTGGATTTTCTATATTTAGATCCTAGGAAATGAAGAATAAGGTTAATAGTAACTCACTCTGCATCCACAATCCAGATGTACACTTACTTCTGTCCATCATAAAATAAGTCGTGCTTACCTCAACAGGAATGAAAATTCCTTGCCATCGATAAACAGTAGAAAACTTTATAGGTGATTTTCTTAACATGATACCATATATTATTTCTTCCAAAGTAAAGAAACACCAACCAGAAGCAGATTCATTAAAAAAACTTTGAAATATAGAAAATACAACATCCATGCCCCCTGTAAAACAAAAATCAATATGTACTAATTCATGATTCTTGCAAACTTTAACTACTTACTCTAAAATTGTTGTTTAAACCATAAGATGACTGATTTTGTTACTAGAAATACAATCATGTTTTATTTACATGTGTGAGAAATCACCTAAATTTAATAATTACAATATTGTAAAAAAAAGGCACCAAGAGAAGTTCTTAACAATGAACAGCTGAACATTTTTATCAACTTTGTACATATTATAAGACTGCCCATGACAAATTTTGAATTTATATCCTCTGAGAACTGTTTAATAATAGATTTATTTAAGTCCACAAATTAAAACACTGTCTATCCAATGATTTATTACCATTTTAAGAAGGCCTAAATAGACTTACATAATTTCCAAGATTTTAACAACCTGGTCTAACCAAAAAGACTCTAAAATTCCTTATTATCAGAAGAAAATCCTTACATAATGAATAGTAATTTTTTAAAAGTAGTTTGTTCTACTATCAAGACACCTTCCCATATAAAGAAAGTACTTTTTAAACTTCAACTAATGGCATCAACATGATGCAGTATGAGCAATATGATCAGGCTGAAAGCTTTTTATCATTTTAGATTACCAACTCAAGAAGTCTTAATGTTAATGTCAGACATCTAATATAGGTTGGAATTTTCTTTCCTAGAAAATTAATACTTAAATTCCTATTTTACCATCTGAATCTTTTTTATTAAGAAACCTTAATAGTACTAATCGTATTGACAACACCTTCACTATGATAAATTAAGAGACCAAAGGATGAGAAATAAAAACACGACTGACACTTATAAATCTCCTACTTCCATAAATACTAATAAAAACACAAATAGATTCTAAATAATAATAGATAATTGGAATAAAGAAGTTGGTTTGTTTTGTTTCATTTTTCTTTTATCTCTCTTGCATTTTTCTGAATATTCAATTTTTTATTACATCTACCAGATCTTTTCTATATTCGATGTTCAAGTCTTTCCAAATTAAACAAACAAAAAAATCCTCTGAACCCTATATCTTCATGACTATAGCTTCAAAATCTGACATTTCCTGAATTTCTGAAATAATTGCCTACATTCAAGGTCTCTTTTTCTTCATCTCCATTAAAAATGTTACTCAGTTCTTATCTGTCCTTATGTATATAGCTATATATCATTAACCACAGAAACACTGAAACTCACTCTTTTCAACTTCAAGTCAAGGTGATCTTCCATGGGCTTCTGAGACTATAAATTTTAAAGAAAGCACATTGCCTCTTTTTCTCTCACGTTGCTGCTGGTGGATTTGAACTGCAAGTCTTTCATTAGTAACCCAATAAGTTCCATAATCTATTAGTACTTTTGTTGTTATGTACCATGGAGTCAGAACAGACACAGATGCTCTGTCAGCAGGTTTTCAGAGGCACAGGAGGAGATTACACATCTTTTACCCATGGATCATCTAATAGATTCAAAGTGTGTACTTTTGGGTTGGCTGTGCAACTCCTTCTCAATCAGCCCCCAGAGCAAAAATGTTAAAGACTCTCAAATTTAGCTCTCCAGGAGAGATCACTCTCTCTCAGAAGTAGTTAAAATTCACAACCACAGAAGAAAAAGACAACTACAAGGCTTGGTCATTAGCACCAAGGAATCCTGAGGACCCAATTACTGAGACCATGTCTCTTTCCTGGGCATTTGTCTGCTTAGGTAGAACAGTTCCCTCCCAATAAACCACAGGACAGGAGGCAGAGGTTGGCCAACCCACCAAGTGAGTCTTGAGGGCTGCTCCATTGGGATCCTGCCACTCACCTGTGCCTTTTCCCTGAGCAAAATATCCCAGACAGCACTACTGTGATGTTGCCTACCCATAAAAGAAAGTGCACCCACCCACCACTACAGGACAGAACAGAGAAGTGTGCCCATCACAGTGGGGCAAAGGGAGAGATTACAAGTCCATACCCCTCAAAGGATAAACAGATGAAAACCTTCCCACAAGAAACGGAGAACAGAGTCACCTATAGATAAGCAATGAGGAAAACTGTCCTAAGACACTGTTTAGGGGTCAACACTTAAAGGCTGAACCTTATCAATAGCATAATAAAGAACTGACAACAACCTACAAAGACAAAACAGAAACTGCCTCAATCATAAAAAGAATGTCACATAAAGTTAAGAAAGCTGCAGGCAAGTTCAAATATTTAAAAACCAAAACAAGCCTTCTCCTAAAAAGCAGTCAGCACATGAGATACATAAGGGCAGAAGAAATATATCAACGTGGAATTATATGACTGGCTACAGAAGAAGTGAAAATGATAGGAAAAGAATTTAAAGCACACATAAAGAGAATCGAGAATTTTTTAAAAGTATCACAAGACAAAGAGGGTACCACCAACACAGTACAGAAATAACAGAAATGCATGTAAAGGCAATCCAGAATATCAAGACTGAAATATCAAATTTTTCAACATACTGAAGGGACAAGAAAATAGAGTAGAAGATCATCTAAAATGGAGTAGAAGAAATAGAGTAGAAGATCATCTATCTCTTCTTTAGAAGAAACTAAGAATTAGCAAGTTAGAAGATGATAAGACCAAACCAGGTGACATTAAATCAGTATTCTAGTATGAAAAGGTATACCATACAATTTGAAAATTCCAAGGAAATGGACAAATTCCCAGAAACCCATACCCTATCCAGATTGAAAGAGATGTAGAACACTTGAATTGTCCATTCACAAAAAAATAAATTGACCATGATATTAAAATATTTCATTCAAAAAGAGTCTTGGCCTAAATAGCTTCATGAGTGAATTCTACCAAACATTCAGAGAAAAACTATCACCAGTTCTATTTAATTATTAAAAAAAATTGGAGCAAACACTTCCAGAGTCATTCTAGGAAGCAAGCAGAACCCTAATAACAAAGCAAGGCAAAGACATTACCCCCCCAAAAAAATCAATAGACTAATATCTTTCATTAACATAGATACAAAAATTGTTAACAAAATAAATCCTAGTTCATAAAATCCAACAGTATATTAAAAAAAATTCATCATGACCAAGTGGGATTCATAACAGATATGGTGTTAGACTAAAAGTTGGCACTTTTTTAGTCATTTAACCTCTAGTCTCCAGGTACATTGACTGCAGACACATGGTCTTGCAATTCACAATTATTTGTTTGTCGTGTACCATTGAGTCAGAGCCAACACATAGCTGACCCTCCAGCTGGTTTTCAGAGGCAGTTAACTGCACAGGAGAAGACTGTCCATTCTTCTCCTGTGGAGCAGCCGGTGGCCTCGAACAGCATGCCTTCAGGATTGCAGCACAACTTTGCCACTAGGCCACCATGTTGTTATTGTTGTTGTTGTTGTTGTTATGTGCTGCTAAGTCGGCTGTGACTCACAGCACCTCTTATGTACAACAGCCCTAAACCCTGCTCTGGCCTGTGCCAATCTCATGTCTCTGACACACCTAATCCCCAATACCCCAGAACTGAATCAATCCATCTCACCGAGGGTCTTTCTCTCCTGCACTGTCCCTCCACCCTCCCAAACAAGATGTCCTTCTCCAAGGACTGGTCCCTCCTTGCAACACGTCCAAAGTATATCAGATGAAGCTTCAGAATCCTTGCCTCCAAGGAGCAGCCTGGTTTAACCCTCTTCAAGATGAATCTGTTCATTCTCCTAGCAGTCCATGGTATATTCAATACTTTTCTCCAGCACCACAGCTCAAAGGCATTAATTCTCCTTCTATCCTCCCGATCATTGTCCAGCTCACTGATGCATACAAGTGATTGCCTAGACCATGGCCTGTGTCAGGCGCTTCTTAGTTTACAAACTGACACCACTGCTGTTCAGTACTTTAGAGAGGTCACTAACAGTGGACTTTTCCATCACAATATGTCTTTTAATTTCCTGGCTACTGGTGCCAAGATTGTTGACCGTGGAGCTAAGCAAACTAAAGCAGTTAACAATCTCAATCTCTTCACCATCCATCCTGATGTTGCCAATTGGCCCAGTGGTGAGAATCTTTGTCTTCTTGATATTGAGCCTCAATCCATATTGAAGACTGTAGTCCTTGACCTGCAGCAAGCATTTCAGGCCCTCCTCAGTTTCAGCCAGCAGGGTTGTGTCATCTGCATAACGCAGATTGTTGATGAATCTTCCACCAATCCTGATGTCACACTTCTCTTCACAGAGCCCAGCCTCCTGGATAATCTGTTCTGTATATAGGTTGAAAAGGTATGGAGATAGGACACATCCCTGGTGTACACTCTTCCCAGTTTTGAATCATGTAGTGCAGCTCCCTCAAATCATCATGGTAATGCAAGTCACCAACAGCTGTGGGATAAAGATAAGAGAAAGAGCACTTCCCAGACAGGGCAGCATGACTTGAGGTGAGAAAGACTTGAGACAAGAGTGAAAGTGAGCAAGTCTTATGGCAGTAAGACCCTGGTGAGAGTGAGAATCTGGTGGTGGAGAGACTGTGACACTGCTGTGGACAAACGGTGGCAAACTGTGACCTGAGGCTTCTTGCATTTGTGCTGGCCAAAGTTACAGGTTTATTTGTTCAAAGTGACTTATAACTGCTTTGGAGCAAACCTTGCTGAACAATTTGGATTTGACTGCTGAACTGAAACTGGAACCTGGACGTCTTGAGGAATTGTGCCTTGGAACTGTTGGTCTAAAGCCTGGACTTGTATTGTGAGATATTCTTTGCCTTCTCCACTCTGTAACTTCCTTTCCTAATAAGCCCCATTTTTGGTACCATAAAAGTAAAACAACAAATAAATGAACCTCTTGCTGTTGGTGTGGTTCTAGAGGCACCATGGAGCTGAACTACTAGCTTTTTATCTGTTTTCTACTATGTGGTAGTGAGAGGCTGTGCTATTCTTTCTCCCTCTGGCCCTTTCAGAGAGATACTCATGGCCCTGTGCCTCCAGATACTGTTTTCACCTCTTTAGAAAACAAGTATGCAACGAAGGTTCAAAACACACACACACACACACACACACACACACACACACACACACCCCAACCCCAAGACAATCGATATAATTTATGGTACTAGCAAAGCAAAGAACAAGAACTACATAATCCTATCAATTGGTCTAGAAAAGACCTTTGACAAAATTTAACACCCTTTCCTGAAACAAAGGTTCAATAAAATAGGAATAGAAGGGAATTTCTACAATAGTCAAAATTATGTTCACAAAACCAAAGTCAACATCATTCTCACTGGATAATAAATAAAGATACTCCCCTGGAAAATAGGGAACAGGATGTTCTCTATCATGCTCCTATTCAATACTGAGTTGGAAGTACTAACTAGGGCAATAAGATATAAAAGGAAATCAGAAGTGTTCAAACTGGCAGAGGTGTTAAAACTGTCACAAAAGGCAAATGATATAACAGTGTACGCAGAAAAATTTCAATGGAAAAAGAGAAAAACAAACATTGTACCTGAGTGAAATAGCAAAATACTTCTGAGAAACAAAAATGAGGTTAGAGGTACAGCACTCCCTGACCTTAAAACATACTATACAGCAGTGGTAACCAAAACAGCATGGTACAGGCACATTGACCAATGGAACAGAAATGAGAACCTGGAAATAGACCCAGCTATCTATGGTCAACTGATACTCGACAAGGAAATCAAAGCTGTTAAATGGGGATATTATAACCTCTTCAACAAATGATGCTGGCAAAACTGGATGACTTCCACGTGCAAAAAGCTGAAACAGGATCCACATCTCATACCACACACAAAAATCAACTCAAGGTGGATCAGAGACTTGGGAGTAAAGCCCAAAACCATAACGTTCTTAAGAGACAAATTGGGATCAAGCATAGAAGCCCTAGTCCAAGGTATAAAGAGACTGCCAAGTACAATCAGAAATGAACAATCTAAAGAGGATAAAATTGATGCATGGAATCTTCTAAAGATTAAATCTCTTTGCACATCAAAAACTTTTTCCAACAGGGTGCAAAGAAAAATCTACAGACTGGGAACAAACATTTGGTAATTCCATCTCAGACAAGAGTCTTATAACAAAAGTTTACAGAATACTCCTGGGCCTCCACAAGAAAAAGACTGATAACCCAATTACAAAACGGGCAAAAGACATGGAAAGAATTTTCACAGGGGAAAATATTCAAACATCAAACAAACCCAGGAAGAAATGCTCCAAATCACTGGCAAAAAGACAGATGCAAATCCATACCACAATGAGGTACCATCTCACTCCAGTAACAGTGGCAAAGTTTAACAGGGCAGCAAGTAATAGATGTTGGAGAGGATGTGGTGAGAAAGGAACTCTTACACATTGTTCGTGGGATTGTAAAAAATGGTGCATCCATTCTGGAAGGCAGTTTGGTGCACCCTCAAAAAGTTGAACATAGAAATTCCATTTGACCCAGATATTCCACTACTTGGAATATACCTGAGAATATGAGAACTGAGGCACAAACTGAGATTTGTACACCGATGTTCAGAGCAGCTTTATTTACCATCACAAGAATATGGAAACAGCCCAAATATCCAACCACAAACGAATGGATTTAGAAATTATGGTGCATTCACACAATGAAATACTATGCAGCGTGCAGGAGCAATAACTTTGTAAATTATTACGTAACTTGGGAGGGACTGGAGATCATTATGCTAAGTGAACTAATTCAGTCCCACAAGGATAAATATTGTATAAGATCGTTATTGTAGAATGAGTATAAGGATCCAGGAGGGGTGTGAGAGCTGGAAGTAGAGGGATGTGGATGTGCGGGGGGCAGGGGAGGGGTGATAAATCATTAGGTTCCTTCGCCATCTCTTATTCTTTATTAAGCCTTCCCTACATGTTTCCAAAATAATGCCTTCAAAACACAAATATGATCATACCACATATATGTGGATAGACATATTGTTACTCTTCTCGATGCCTAAAGCTCTCAAAATTTTCCATTGGAAGGAAGATAAAAATCTGCAATAGAGTCTTCAGATTATTAAATTATCTGTCCTTCCTCTCTCTACAAACTTGACACTCTCCTATATTTCAATGTACCCTGCCCTAAGTCTTCATTTATGTTTCTATGTCTCAATATCTTTCTAACACATTTATTAGAGTTTAAACTACAGGTTGATGTTGGCTTATGTAATTCAGTTTTTACATCTCCTGTATTCAGCAACCTACCTAGCACGAAATTGACAATAAATACAAAAGGATACAAAAAATAGACTTGTATTTTCTATATCCAATATATCTTTATGATACAAAACAGGAAGGGTAATATAAACCTTATACATATGAACTTTCTTTATTACAGAATTTTTTTCTTATAGGAAACAAAACATACTTGTTCCAAAGGCTGTTTCAGATATTGTCTCCCACTCCACACTCACAGCTAAATCAATGCCATTAGTACGTGACACATTTAAATACACAGTCCTGTTGGCTTCTTCGATGGCTATGGAGGTATCTCTAAAAGAAAATGAATTGTGGAAAGTAGAAAACATGATTTCTATGCATTTTTGAAAAAAATTTTCACATTGCTAACATAAACTTAACATGCATTTAAATTTATCTAACCTAAGATGTAAAAATCGTACGTGCCAAGAAGACAACACTCTAAGCATAGAAAATCTACTAACAAAAATAAAGTAAAAAAAAAAAAAGCACAGATCCACAATGAGAAAATATTTAAAATCAATAATTTCATACAACATTTGGAAATATAAAACTTTTTCATTGCTAATTTTTCTCACAAAACTTTTAAAATTGCAAGAAAAATAGGAAATTCTTAGCATACTGGTGAAACTAGACTTAATGGAACATTTTAAAGTTATATATGAGTATATATGAACATGTTGTTGTACTTATGTACATCAAGTCGCTTGCAACTCATAGCGACCTTATATACAACAGCTCTGAACTCCGCTCTATCCTGTGCCAATCTCACCATCTCTGACACACCTACCTCAGTACCCAGCCACTGAATCAATTCATCTCATTGAGGGTTTTCTTCTCTTGTGCTTTCCCTCCACCCTATATACATGTACATTTCAAAAAACCCAATTGCTCTTGGGTTTCTGAGGCACTATTTTAAGTATCACTCTAAATCATACAGGAGGAGACTGCACATTGGTTCTCTAAGGGAGTTGACAGTGATTTGAAGTCTAGAGGAGTATGACCTTGGGTTAGCAGTGCAACTCCCTATGGATTACGACACAGCTAATATACCTCCTGCTCCACAGAAGACAGACCAGCAATCTCCTCCATGTGATTCAGAGTCTCTGAAGACACACTAGAGGATCAGATATGAGTCAGCTCTGACTCAACAACACATCATGACAACTATAAATACACATACATACGTATACATACACACCACACACGTGTGTGTGTGTGTGTGTGTGTGTGTGTGTGTGTGTGTGTGTGATGTCAATTTCTAGAGAGAATTTTAGACTACCTGCATGAACAGTATTTCACT